AGGAGGACGCGGAGGAGTACGTGCCGCCGACGGCGCGCCTGGACGCCGCGGTGTACCGGCAGCACTGGAACGGCCTGCGGGTGCGTGTCGGGGTGCACACCGGGCTGTGCGACATCCGGCGCGACGAGGCGACGAAGGGGTACGACTACTACGGCGACACGGCGAACATGGCGGCGCGCACGGGGGCCGTGGGGAACGGCGGGCAGGCGCTGCTGACGCGTGCGGCGTACATGTCGCTGAGCACAAACGAGCGGGAGCAGTTGGAGGTGAGTGCGCTGGGCGCGGTGGCGCTGCGCGGGGTGCCGAGGCCGGTGGAGATGTGCCAGCTGGACGCCGTCCCCGGGCCGCACCTTCGCCGCGCTGCGTCTCGACCGTTTGGCGCCGTGGCCCGACGCCGGCGGAGAGGCCTCCGCGTCCACCACGTCGAGCGTCGGAGAGGCCGGCGCGCCTCGCGCGGCCGGCCGGTGCCCCCGCGGCGCCGACGTCGCGCCGGCGGCGCGGCAAAAAAGAAGGCGGCGGGGCGGGGGAGCCATAGCTTTTCGTGGCCCTTCTCTGATCTTTTTTTTTGCGGCGGCCGAGTCGCGCCGACGGCGTCACCTTCGCGCCGACGGCGTCCGGAAATTCCGGCGAGGGGCCTCGAGAGCCTCGGCACACGCCGCTACGGCGAGGCAGGCGGAAAGAAGAAGCGGAATTAAGCGGAAGCTCGCGTCTCCGGAGGGAAGCCGGCAAAGAATAAAAAAAAAGGGAGCCCTGGGGCCGCCCCCGCGACGGCGTGATCGCGGCCGGCGGCCGCTTCGTTCGGTGCTCTGTAAGTCGCCGGGCCGGAGGTTTTCCAGACCCGCCCTGCGGCCGGTGGCGCGGCCTCGTCGACAGCGCCAGAGGGGCCCGCCGCGAAGGCAACAACAACAACCATGAACGCGATTAACGCGGGTGGTTGCGTGGCGATGGCGGCCCTCAGCCTGGATTGCGGCCGCCGTCCGGCGGCTCCTCCCCCTCGCTTGTTCTACTCAGGGCTCCCCACGCTCGCCTGATCCATCTTCGCAGGCCGGTGCCGCTCGGAGGACCGCTCGTCGCGCCGAGCGCCCGCGACCCGCGCACGGCGTCGGCAAATCCAGCGCTAGCTCCCCGCGGAAAGTCGAGAACGCGCGGCGCCCCTTCGCCGCCGGCCGTTTCCCGCGGTCCCTCGCCGCGGGCCGGCTGCTGGGGCGCGTCCGCCATAAGCGCCACCAGCCGTATCGGGCCCGTTCCCTCGCCTTCGGAGCCCTTCCGCACAGTCCTCTTGCCCTTACCCTTCGAGTGCCCTTTGGCCGGCAGCGCCTCGCCAGAACTTCGAGAAGAGAAAAAAAAGAAAGGGTGCGCCGCGAGGTCGGCTGTGGGGGAGTGGCAGCAGGATTATTCAGGGTTTGGTGCCTCGAGGAGGGGCCGCGGTCGCGCCGGCGGCGGGACCTTTTCGCCGCAAGCCGCCGTCGCGGCAGCGCCTCCTGCGCCTGCTGCCCACGCGAACGCGCCGCGTATGTGGCGGCGGCCAACAAGCGGCGCGCGACCTGCAACCGACCGGAGAAGCCGAAGCGAAAAAAGAGGGAGAAGGGAAAAAAGAGATGGCGGCCGCGCCCGGAGATGCGCCCCGCCTCGCTGCGCGTCTTTCGCGGCGGAAGCGCGGCAAAAAGGAAAAGAAAGAAAAATAACAATAGCAAAGAGGGAATGCATAAACGCATCCGTAAAAATATAGCCGTGTTTGTTTGTTTTTCTTTCCCCCTTTCCCTCCTCTTATTCTCTTCTTTCATATTCCTTCTTCACTCCGGCGGCCTACGAAATTTTGAACGCGCCGACGGTTGCCGCCAAAGCCGCCGCCGCCCCGTTTGGTCCGGACTGTTCGCTCTCCTCCGAGACGCTGTCGTGCACCTGAACATACTTTAGGACCGCGCGTTTGCTGCTATCCTCCAATTCGCCGCCCAACATCACCTCGTCCAACACAAAGTAGGCGCGATGAAAGTTAAAGATGAGGTCGAGTTCGCAGACGTTGCCAAAGTAGCGATCTAGTATCTCCACAAAGTGGTGAATGATCTCCAGCGCGGTCAGTTCGTTATCATCGCTGTCGATGGAAGCGACAAAGTAAAGGGAGGCGTAACGACGACAAATGTACTTGCTGCCTCTGTGTTCCACCACATTGGAAAACCGCATAGATCGACCCAGGGCGAGTTGACACACCTCCCGCACAATCTTGGCCTTTTCCTTCTTGGAATACGCAACGTACCACTTGGCCAGGCGCAGCTTGCCCTGGCGGCTGATAAGTAGCAGGTATTTTATCATGAGCGACGTGTCAGAGGCCCCCGCCTCCTCGCTAAAGAATGCCACGCGACACCTCGGTTTACAGCTTCTGCCTTTCTCTCCCTCGTTCTCCTGCCTCTCAGCTTTCCGGTGAGGCGGCGGAATCAGACTTCTAGTCTTGACCCTTCGGCTCCGCTGAGGGGCGGCATGCGCGCCACGAGGAAAACCAACCACGCAGCGAGAGGAAGGGGGGGGGGAGACGACGACAACAAGAACGAAAAAGCGGACACAGGGTTCTGGAGACGCAGAGAGAAAGAGGGAGACAGACACGACGAGGCTTCGGCCTAGACTGTTGGCAAGCGTTCTCATTGCGCACACACGCGTTTCTAATACAAAGAAAGAAGAATAAAAACAGTCACACGTCCCCCCACCCCTCTCCTCCCCAGCCTCGTCTCACTCCACATCCTTCTCTCGTGGGAAGACATGGTATAATGTGCGTTAGCAATACTCCTCTCACGGCAGCAACTGTCCCCATTGTCCTCCAAAAGTTGCGGGGACGGGTCCTCGCGCCACGTGGAGCAGTTTCGCTTGGAAAAGCGCCTCCTTGCAAAGACACACAGTTGCATTCATTCATTCTTTTTTTTTATCTGTCCTTTATCCTTTCTCCTCTGCGGACACACCCACACACACACCCGTTCACGCTCGCCAAGTCACGGCAAACGGCCCGCCATCGCACACAAACCCTGCTCCCTCCCCCGCACCCTCGTCACCGCCTCTGTGTTTGGAAAGAAGGAACCCCCCCCCCTCCCCGCTCATCCCTTCACTTGCCCCCGCCTCCCCCTCGGCACGCCATCGTTTGGCAGACGGCTTCCAAAGGAGGGCTCGTAGAAGTGGTCATCCATGTACTTGAGCATGCCCCAGTTTGACGCCAACTTCGACAGCGCGTCGTCCCCACCTTGGCACCCCGCCGCGGTCGGGCCCCGCACCACCTCTTGGCCGCGCTGTCGCCACACTCCCTCCACCCGCACAACGTACTCCGAAACGCGGCAGAAGACCATTTCTGCGAGAAGCGCACGGCACGTGTGCTCTGCGAGAACCTGCCAGTACTCCTCGCTAAACACCCCACCCGTCTTCCCTTCCCCTGGTTGCAGAGGGCAAGCCACGCTGTCGGTCTCCAACGCCCACCGCAGCTGACCCATCACCCCGCGACAGAACACGCCCTTCCAGTGATACGAGTACTCTCCCATAGCACTATCGGGAATCGCGTCACCCTGGAGTTCCCCGGTGGACGGCGAAACTTGGCCCTTTGCCATCGCTGCCTCATTTCCCTGTTCCCAAGGAACCAAGCCCCGGAAATTGCACAAATCAAAGACCGTCTCGCCGTTGTAGGTTGATGCAATCATTTGTGTCAAGGCGGAAATCTCCTTGGCATCCGCGTAAGGAAACATATTCACAAGATTCGGAAAAAGCTCCTTAAATGTCACCAGAGACCCATGAAAGGACGACCCCCCGCTGAGTGCTGCTCGATCCGTACGCACAATACCATTCTCAATAAGATGCTGAATACATGCATAGAGCTCCAACCTGCGCCCATAGTGCTCGGCTCGATCATAGTACTTCATGAGGGCACTAAGGTTGCCTTTTCCTGCGGTTGGGGCATGCACATAATCAAGATACGATTCGCCGAAAAGTTCATGCGTAAAATCTGGAGAGAGGCACGGTGCATCCGAAGAGGAGCGCCGCAGCAATGTACACTTCTCTATTTCCCACCACAACGTTGCTGGTGTCCACTGCCTGCTGTACTGTACAAGCGCATTGTAGAACATCTCAAGGCAGATGTGGTCGCGCTTCCCGCGGTGGTCGTTCCACCCGTTGTGCGGCTCACGACAGAGACTGCACCAGTTCTCTGTCTCATTCCACACCCACGGGTAGGCTAGGCTGCCATTGCTGCCGCCGCTGCTGCACCCTAAACTTGCCGTCGCGGTTTCACGTGCGGTAGCCACAAGGCGATGGCACCGCTGATGGTTCTCTGGAAATTGGAAGGACGACGACGACGACGAAGACGACATCAGCCGGCGGGCCTGCCTCAGAGACGGGCGGCAAAGGGAAGCAGCAGCCCGCCTGCTCCACATGGTGCGCCGCTCTTTTCCCCCGCGCCAGCAGCCAGCACTAACTGAGCGGCACGCAGGACGCGGGGCCCCCCTTTCCTTCCGATGGCAAGAGACGCAGCGGACAGAAGGCACATCAGGCAAACGGGGTACACGACTCCCAGCACACAAGAAGGACGCAGCAAGCCCCGCTCTCACGAACACGCAGTTATGGGCTACAGGCGCACCAAGCAGTGGGCGAAAGTAACCATGGCGAGGTCAAGTCCAAATGAATGTATGAATGAGCGAACACGCAAAACCAAAAGAAAAAAGAAAANANAGAGAGAGAGAGAGAGAGA